CCAAAGTGCCAGGTGTGAGCCATCATAGCTGGCTGAAAACAAATTTTTCCCTTAATTAGGCCTACATTATCTTGAGATAATTGGAGGTCAGAGGAACTATGACTTCTTTCTTTGTTTTCCCTCATTTGAGTTTCATTAATACTTGTCCTTTTTAATGAGATATAATTGTAATAATAATAACAGTAATAATAATGTCAGTTATTGTTTATTTTAGGCTAGGTATACTATCCCAAAAAAGATACCAGAAACTTGTTCCCCCTGAAGCTGAGGTATGCAAACTTGAACTCTAGGCTCTGCAGTCAGATGAAATTTCCAGTTCAAGGAAGGCAACAAGAGTGAGCAGGTGCCCCTGTCCCTTCTGGCCTTGGTCTTAGAGAAGCAGTAGCTGAAGCTGCTCTGCTGGCTGTGGTGAGCCACGTGACGCTCAGGCCTGGGCTGCTGTAGGGTCTTCACTGGGTAGTGTGATTTAACATTTGACTGCAAACCTGAGTCTCGACCCTCAAGAGCTACTTAACAGGCCCGGTGTGGTGGGCCTGTAATCATAGTACTTTGGGAGGCCAAGGCAGGTGGACTGCCTGAGCTCAGGAGTTCCAGACCAGCCTGAGCAAGAGTGAGACCCTGTCTCTAAAAACAGCCAGGTATTGTGGCGGGTGCCTGTAGTCCCACGTACTTGGGAGGCTGAGGCAAGAGGATCACTTAAGCTCAGGAATTTGAGGTTACTGTGAGCTATGACACCAGGGCGTGACAAAGTAAGACTCAGTCTAAATAAAAAAACCAAACAAAACTACCTCATACATTCTTATGTTTCTTTTCTCCTTCTATCAATCTAGGTTTACTTCTTTGTAAATCAGAATCCTGAATGATAATTACAAAAGTGTGTAAGGCTAAGTAATATATAGTAAAAGTTGCCCTGTTTTACTTCATATTGTGTATGTATAATGTGAGCCCCTACAGGGGGTGTGTCTGTCTGTAGGACCCACCGGGATATGACCCACGCAGAGGGTGGAAAGCCGGAGGTACCCAGCTCCTCACTCCCCCTCAGCTAATTAAGGGGAATGGACACTACATGATCTAAACCTCACTTTCTCTTTTTGCTGATACTGTGTGGAATTCACACAGGCTAGAAATGCTAATAACGTGACTTGATTGTTCTGTGTAAGAAGAGAGAAGCTCTAACAGCAGAGCTTTTGTAAATGCCTGGCAGGCTGCTTTCTGCAGTGCTGGATCTTTTCAGGAGACTGGAATGGAAGTTTCACGGTTGTGCTTTGCAGCTTGTCAGGCAGAGCCTCAGAAAGTCATTTAAACCACAACCCCGTCCTTATGCAAAAATGTTCCCCTCTTGATGATCCTCTGAGAAAAACTGTAAAAAATAGAACGTTTTGAGCTTCCTGTGAAATGTTCTCCTTAATAATTGGAGGCTTCCTATTTCCTAGGCTTGAGACTACAACTTGGTGATTTTCCACAGCCTATGATCCTTTGCACGTTTGTTTCAGTGTCTGAAACTGTGCATGGAATGTATGACGTTAGCAGTTACAGAAGCAGAGTTGTAGGCTGTTCTCCTTACTAAGTCCACATAGACGCTGGCGGGCCTCACACACAGATGGGGTAGCTCCTCCTTCAGCCTTCCCTTCACTTACCTTGATTTTCTTTCTTTCTTTTTTTTTTTAGGCCATCATCTCTCAGCAAGGCGACACATTTGTATTTGATCTAGAAACCTCAGCTGTTGCTCCCTTTGTTTGGCTGGATGTAGGAAGCATCCCAGGGAGATTTAGTGACAATGGCTTTCTCATGACTGAGAAGACTCGAAGTATATCATTTTACCCTTGGAAGCCCACAAGCAAGAGTGAATTGGAGCGATCTTTGCGTGTGACTTCCCTGACAGACATTTACTGAGGGAATCCAGGTTGTATTTTCAGTGGACACTGGGAATAAACCCCATCCGAGGCACTGGCAGAAGAGGAAGGCAGCCAGAGGCAGGTCTCGGAAGCTGAGTGGTGCATGTGCCTCAGCCCTGCTCAGACCGTCACCCTGGTGAAGAGCGTGTTCTGTGATCACTCTCAGGGAAGGGCTGTTAATACAGCTGAAGTCCTGAAGCCTGAGCCTGGGTGTCCTTAAATTTGTGCCAGCCTGCCCTTTCGCCCTAAACCTCCCACCTTCAGTGACACAGGAACCAACTGTCACCCGGTGGCTCCTCAGGGAGTCACAGGAATGTGACCATGGCAGGATCTGTGGAACCAAATGGAAGGTTTTTAAGGTGATTTAGGCCTTTCATTGTGAACTTGAGAAATACTGAGTACTAATACTGCTTTGTTACTCTATCTGGAGGGAATGGAGGTTCAAATTTCACAACAAATTTCTTGGTGGTAGCCATGTCGACAGTTTGGGGGATCGGTGTTGCATTTGATTACTTTTGGGGGTATGATTCTTTTTCATTTGTAGGTTTTATTATAAAATACTGTTTTAACAATACCAACTTTTAAAAAAGGCGTTAGAGGCTCGGCACCTGTAGCTCAACCGGCTAAGGCGCCAGCCACGTACAGCTAAGGTGGCTGGTTCGAATCCCCAGCCCGG